ATATATATACACACACACGCCACAGATAAAATATTTTTGAAAGATACAACATATTATCTCATATGGGGATGGTAAAGGGATTTAGACCAAATGGTGACATGGGATATGTTCATTGTGCATTGACCCCACCCTTTAAAATCCAGGATCCATTTCCCAACATCTTCATAAAACCTTTGAAAGCCTGTCTTTGTAACTTCAGTAACAACAGTAGCCTGTACAGTCTGCAAACAGGATGGACCCCGCTACTCGGTGCAGTGAGCAAAAAAAAAAAAGAAGACGCGCTGAATGAGCTCCTCTGTCAGCCGGTTTGTGATGAGTCATATAGGTGCCAGAGGCTGCGATTGGCTGCGTGATCAGCCAGGAACTCTTGAGAGGCCAATGAAAGACTACAACACTGAGGCCGGAAACAGAGCGGATTTGGTTGTTGTTGGAAGTTCGGTCTGTTTTCAGCCAGTAATTGTGGAAGTTTGCTGTACATGTGGCTGTTTTGAATGTATTCAGACACATGAAGAATGTCCCTCTTAAAGACGGGAGGAACAAGTGGCTGGAGCCATCATAGCAACCTGACTTTGAGGACACGCAACAAGTAGTTACGGCTGCACTTTTGAGTTACGTCCACTGTTAAATTTCTCTTCATTTCCATCAGTTGAAATGTGTAAGGAATGGTCTAGTCATTGTTTGAGCAACAAACAAAAAAAGAAGCTCTTTTGAATACAATTGAACAAAACACTGCAGTAATAACACACAAAAGGCAGCATTACATCATGATTCAGGATTGCTACGATGGCTGCCGCTGTGTGATAAATCAGAAAGTCATTCTTGTGGATGCTAACAGCTTCGGTGCACCGTCGCCAATGTTCACTGAACTTTGCCAGAGCCACTGAGGACAGCACACAGCTTGACCGCTGACGCTCTACGTGGAAAGCAAGACAAAAGAAAATCTGCCTACCATTTTGCATTTGAGTCTCACGAATGGATGAATGTGTAACGGGGGCACAACATGGCTGCAAGGTCACTCCCGGTTCTGCCGCGACACCGGGTGAGCGCTCGTAAATGGAGGAATCTGATTTGATCACACTGTCTTCAGCAAAATCACAAGAGCGTCTTTCCTCTGTAATTCGATAGAACGACGACCCAAAACGGAAAAAGCACAACTGACCCAGTAGCACCTGGCTATTACGCTCTGTAACACAACAACACGTCGTTTAATCTTTCAGGAAATGTGTGCATTTCACAGAGTGAGGCACTCACAAAGTGAACTCCATGAGCAGGTTCAGGCTCTCCTTATGTTTGGCCATTACGGAAAAAGAGAAAGAAAGTGTTGTATTTCTCATCGTCCGTGAAGCACGAGCCTCCTGGAGGCCTGGATTCAATAATGCTAAAGCTGGAACACGTTGGGGAACAAGTGCTGTATCACAACAGAGGGTCCAGACTCAAGACGAACTCAGATTGACCTCAGATGTGCGTTGCCTGGACACAGTCACAGGTGGCTTGTATGTGTGTTTAATAGAAATGGGCTTTTTATAATTCAAAGGGCAGTGTGAGGAAATGTAGTCGTCTCTGTAAGAGGGCACAGAGGCTCCCTGTTCTTCTCCAAAACAGAGAGAAAAGGCCTAACTGGATGTGTCCGACAGCCGGGTCAGCAGGTCGCGGTAAGGCCGCTGCTGGTAAGCCCCGACAGTGCAGTGCCAGGCTTCATCAGGCCTTTCACCAACACTCGGAGACAAACCTGGGCCAAAATGTCCTGTGTGGAACAGATGGGATTTTCTGGAACATTTTTCTTGGCACTATTTGCCGCAGGCATGCACAATCGAACGCAGATCAACCTTTAAGAAGCTCGGATTCAATAGGACTTCTGATAAGGGGGAATTCTGCTTCAGTATCGCCTCAGCTGTCACACAGGCCCAGGCCGTAACCACATTAGCATGCGTTTATTCAGCTGAGGCCTCTGAAGCTGCAATCCATACAGCCTGTTTCCCCTTCGTCGCATTGAAGGCCACCCTGCTTTAAATAAAGCTGATAGGTTAACCAACCACTTAGAGCATATTGATAATCGTAAACTAGCACTTCAGTGTTACCTCATTACCGCAAGGACAATGAGCCAGGGCCTTCTATTTGACACATTGAGTCATGAGCTGGAAAAAGAGGAGCAGACCTGAGATCAGAGTCTGCCCACGTAAGAGGGAAGGATCGAGATCCTCATTGTAGAAACAACAACAAAACTCTGTGCGTCGGGCCCGTTTGAGGCCGATCACTATCGCCTAGCTCAAGTGAAACCGCAGACGAGCAAAAGTCAAATCGTAGTTTCAGTTGCACTCAGATTCCAAACACACAGTTTCCTGGCTACTCGTGACAGGAGGCCTTGTGCAGTTCTAGACACCATTCAAAATACTTTAGCGGCCTCCCAAACGCCCAGATAGCGACAAGAGGCCTCAACAGGGAGACTATGACGGTGTGTGTGTGTGTGTCAGCCAGCCGTGGACCCAAGCCCCAAGATACTACTCAACTCCAGTGTGGGCCACTGCAGAGAGGCTGACATGGAGACAGTTAGAGGCTGTTGACTGTCTGTCTGTCTGTGTGTGTGTGTGTGTGTGTGTGTGTGTGTGTGTGTGTGTGTGTGTTGGAGAGGACCGAGGAGGGAAAGGGCTTTTCTCTGGGGGGACTCCGTAGGGGGACGTTAAACACCCTCACTAGTCTACGTACACTAATAGGCGGTTTACAGAACAATGACAGGAAAAATATTTCACTACGAGTCTGACGTTTTTATCACTTTGACCAAAGTGCATGAGAAGAAAGACTTCACATTTTGGAAACATAATGCAGATGCATCAACCTCATCGTCATGCTTTCAAATATCTACCGATCACATAGCCTATACATTTTTTTTCGTCTATTAATAGTCTATACACGTGATGCAATGCCGCGTCTGGCACGCACACAATATTGCACACTAACATGAGACGTCCTGCGCTAGTCGGTGGCTTCCTCTCTGCCCGGGAGGGAGAAACCCGACACGTCTTGGACAACATAATGTGGAGCAAAGAACTTCGAGGGAGAAAAAGAAGAAGAGCGTCAGAATAGAAATAATGCAAAAGTGACATATTCTGAGTGGCGAGGCCCCCAAGGAGCGATGGAGGGGCTGTAACACCATAAAGAGATAGATACTGCCTTGGCCCCGCACTGATGGGCCTCTACATCCACTAAACTGCACTCAGACTTGACGGCATGGCACGGCCGGCTGGCCTGCCTGGCTGTTAAACAGCATCCATCTCTGCTCTGACAAATAGCCTCATCCAAGCTACTCCTGATTTAGTTATTTTTGTTGTTGTTGTTGTTGCTGTTTTTGAAATTTTTTTTTAACATGGTGCATATGGTGTGCAAAACATCTCCCAATGAATCTCCATGCTGACACCAGGTGGTATACGTCCTGGGTCACGCTCCTGTTCTAGGGAGAAACATCTCTACTCTACTGAGAGGCGACCAGGGCAGGGGTGCTGCTAGAGATTCTGGGCACAATACAATTAACCCCCCCCCCACCCATAGTTTTTAAAGTGTACGTACAGCAGCACCTCATCTTTCTGAAGGGCCTGCTCTAGCTTGAAGCTCTGTTTCTGAGCACTATAATTGTTGACCCCCAAGCTCCCGGCAGCCTTTCAGCTTTGGTGTTGCCACCCAATGTTCCATGCACCGCAGGAGGCGCGCGAGTTAACGCAGCCCCGGTGGGTGAATAATTCGGCCTACATAACAGCACTCGTAAATGAAAACGTACAACGGTCGAGGTCACAGACCATCCACGTGAGAACACGTAAACGAGTGGAGTGTATAAGGCACGGGTCGTAATGACGTCAGAGAGGATGCGGACGCGTCTCATTTTTTATTTTTTTTGTTTCCACGCCTTTGCGCTCCCACAGGTGGACCTTTATCCTTTTGCATCCCCCACCCTCCCCCAGAGGGAAAAACAACAAAGTAACAAAGAAAAAACTTAACCCACAGAAAACGTGGGAATCTTAATTGATAAGGATTTTTTTTTTCACAGCTGATTCACAAAATCATAATGAGTACATCTAAGTCAGCACTTTTTTTCAATTAAGTTTATATGGACATGGTGCAAGAGGGTTGATATTCTATATAGTAGCTCAGAGATAGGTTTATCTCATTTGTTTGAGGCGCGCAAAACAGGCTTTTTTATTTTGGATTCTTTCCATAACGGCATGATAGAAAGGCTTTCATTAGCCTGCAGGCTTTAGGTCAGATTAAAGACGAGAGCCTATCTTTGCCAAACTTCTTTTCAAAACACGGGCCTACACACATGCTGACAGGTGTTTACAGGCCTGTAGTGCTGCGTTCTGCAATTCATACACTTTTAGAGCGCTTTCATATTTATTCTGCGTACCTTTATAATAAACTATACATCTGGTCTCAGATTTTGGTTTCATAAAGTCCATAATATACTCTCTTTGTGCTGATGTCAAATATTCGTCATTTTTATATAATAGACCTCTGGTTTCACTTTTGATTAAATCTTAGTATATTACCAGTTTGAAAACATTTAAACATGATTTTTCTTTTTTCTCGAAATAGCTTTGATGTGTGCAAAATCTGTCGTTTGATAGAGATATAAACACTCTGCTCATTGTCATTTAAATCAAGTAGGAAACAGTTCATATCTTACAGTTCGATCCTTGATAGCAGCGGCGTACTGTTACATGGGTGGTAAGTGGTGTGACATCCAGTAAAATGAGCGAGGAGGCAGCAGAGCTGCTGCCATGTCTGTGGAGGTTGTGTGTGTGGGGTGATTCCCTTGGAAATTCTCGTTCTATTTTACAGTTAAAAGTCTCGTTTTCTTTCAGAGTTCAGTTTAGTCTTTGTTGTTTCTCGTCTGCTCTCTTAAGGTCAGTCGTCGTCGCCGTCATCTCCTCCGTGCGGGCCCTCGGGTAGCAGTTCGGAGGCCCGTTTCTCTCTACTCCTCTCCTGGATCTTCCTCATCTCCTCCGCGTATTTACAGAAGGTGTTGCCGAATTTGGACCACACTTTGCACGGAACCGTGATGGAGTTCCGGTACGTGGGCTTCACCTCGCTGACCCGCATGAAGACCCCGTACTTGTTGGAGCCCACGTCGAAGAAGAAGCGCTTGTTGTCGACCGTAAGCGAGGTGCCCTCCGGGAGCTCCGCCGGCTCCTCGTCCACGCCGTAGTCGTCGATGAGTTTGGCCAAAGCGTCGCGGAACTCGATGAGACCCTGCGCCGGCAGAGCGATGGTCTGGCCTTGAGCGCTTCCCAATCCGGGCCCCCGATTAACGGTCTGACGGATCCTTAGGAACCGCCCCCTCTGGTTCTCTTTCAGATCCATGTAATATTTCCGATTCTCCCGCACCAGGAATTCGCTCTTGAGCGCCCGCCGGGGCTCATCTTGCACTATGTCCGGGTTGGTCGGGCCTAGCTGGGCGTAATGTTCGATAAAGTCCCCGAGATAATCGCGGAACTCCACGGCAACCGACATAGAGAGAGTGAGGCGGCTCTTATTTCCCCCAGCCCCGACCTCGGCTATCTTTAGGAAGCGGCCTTTAACATTCTGCTTCACGTCAAGGTAGAAGCGCTTGTTTTGGATGTCGACGCGCTTCGAGGCGAGCTCCTCGGTGTCGTGCTGCAGCCGGGACATGGCGCCCATCGCACCCGGAGGCAGCGAGCCGGGGCCTGCGGCCGGCCCTCCGTGGTCACTGCCACTGTCTCTGTCCGCCATGATGCTGCCTCCCTGCTTTACCTTCCACCGTCTCCCTCTGCCTGCTGCAACCTCGACTGCCCGTCAAACCACTCCGCCGCTCTATCGCGAGACGAGAGAAGAGAAGAGGGTGAAAAAAATGAAAGCAACTGTAGACGGTGTTACTGTAGTACTGCGAGCGGGCTGCGTTCAAGACACTCGCGCTGTTTCACAGGATTTTCACTTCAGCCGTCAGTGTAGCCTCATATTGCAACTGAAAGTGAACCCCCACCCACGTGAGCCTAAAACACTGCAGTACTAACATCAACATAGATAGATAGAAAGAAATATAGATGGATGGATAGATAGATAGATAGATAGATAGATAGATAGAAATGAAAGTATGTAAAGGTCGCACCTGTCTGCATCCTGTCTAAGAAGTTAAAAAAGGACATTAACAAGAGTCATACCTGATGATTATTGCTTTGGGTGTTTCAGCACCACGGACAGCGAACCCGAACGGTCTCTGTGGTCGGAGACAGAGACAGGGAGAGAGAGAGAGAGAGAGAGAGAGAGAGAGAGAGAGAGAGAGAGAG